TATAGCTTTTAAGATTGTGCCTGTTTGCAATAAAGTCACCACTTATTCATAATATTATAATTGGTGGGTATATTTGGTATATTGAATGTATAATGTTGAAAGGAAAGAAAGTCTACGCCAATAAACAAGATTATAATTAACATAGCACAAATAATGAAAACTTTCCTAAATTTTCAGTTACCTGACGTTAAAGTAAAACATTTTGTTCGTACAAATAAATGTAAAAAACATTACTAAGAAATCTGGTTTTAATTTCTAGAAACTTGAACTTTTCTAGTCTTTCACTTCTATTTATTTTTAGCTTTATTTACAGGTATAAGGATTAATTGTGCTTTCATATTTTTTGAGAAATACTTATTATTGAATACATTTTGAACAAATTTTTATAAATCTATATATTAACCATTAACTAAGTATATTAAGTATAAAATGACATGTTACGTCATATCATGTTTTTATTTAATTTCGGTAAAAAATAAAATGCACTTATTTCTTTTTTGACAACCCTCTTACCGAGGTATACAGAACCACAATGAATGGATACTACAAAAGAGCTTGATGCCCGCGTTTGTCCATTTACTTTTTAGATTATTCGTACTCCTTGGTTACACAATCTCACCGCAATCGGGTAACACTATCCTATTTAACAATGTAAATACATTGAGTTTTAACTTTAGATTAACCCACAAATATTTCAGCCAACGAACAGATATATACCTTCACCTAATTGTTAGTTTAGGACGGAAAAGCGGCCGATCGATATTTCTAATTAAATTCAACTCGGCTACGAACTATTGTCATCCCTAACGGAGTTGTAAGGAACCACGAGGGAATCGCCCTTCATTGCTCAGAATTAAGTTATTGTCGAGTTTATTGCACTAATGTGTGGGGTTAGGCCTGACGATGTGTGACGCGCGTTTCTGTAACATTTTGCTATTGTTCTTTATCTATGCGATGATAAAATAAAGTATGCACGCGTCACTGTAGACGGTAATTAACGGAATTTTATGTCAATTCATGCTTTGTACTGTTGTGAGTCTAGTGACAAATGTTATTATTTTTTATTTGACGATATTTTTAAAAACAAAATAGTTTTGCGTTTTAATAATATAAATTTTAAATACTGTTAATTTATTATTTTTATTAATGTTTTGTTTTAAGAATTCATTTTAAAATCTATTGTTTTCTAAAAATATACGACAGCGATAGTTTCTTATAATGCAAAGTGAGTAATGTGCGAAAGCTCTTCAAAGAAAATGTGTCGCTTTAATGATTAGCGATACACTTAACAGTCAAGCCCATAGACTGACGAAGCAATGGCCAGTTGAAGAAAAATAATAAATATAATATTTTATGAAAGGTGCAAGAATGCCTTGGCAATAATTATAAGAGTGTAAATAAAAAAAACAATCCTTTCCAAAGTAAAACCTCGGCTTTAATAAATAATTATGAAAGCTATATTCACGGCGTAATATTTTTAAAGAAAATTTTCTTTAAAAATATTTAATTTGAAACTGAAAATTAAAAAAGATTTTTAACGGAGAATGTGTGAGAATTTAATATGCAATTTTTTTTAAATTGACGGAATTATTATAATTATTTAAAAAAATCGAATGTAAGTATTCTTCCCGCCAATAATGATGTCATCTTTGGCGCCTAAAATAACGGTTCGATCGATACGTCATTTGTATTGATCGTCCGACATGGTCTAGTGTGCAGGGCAGTCCCTTTGTCAGTGACGATACGGCGCATTAGGCTACAAATTGTGATAAATATCTATACATTGTATCGTGACGTATATGATGTATCGTTCACATTGTAACGTGTGATAGTTAGGGTGAACGCTGTTTGCGAAAATCATTCGGCCATGTTTGATGGATTTTGAACTGAAAACTTACGACTTATTTTCGTAGTGCAATCAAGTGTGAGGAAAATAAAATATTGTGTTTTTCAAAGGTTCCCGTACCGCTTGTGTATCATTAGTTATGTTATAGTTTTTGTTATGTTTTCTCGAAGCCATAAAACTAATCTTAATTGATTTGAAAACTCTGTTACTCTCGTTTTAGTTTTTTCACACAATTATCCAGTAGCACATTTTTGTCGTCAAAGAACCCGAATCCATATCACTAATAAAACAGTCAATTTCATCTATCTTTAACAGTTTTCAGGAATAATATAGGTACCTAATTACCAATACCTAAAAGCATAATAATTTCCACTAAAATATTGCGTTGTAAATTCAGATGCTTCCTTGTTAGTTGTAAGTATCCGCTAAGTGCTTGCAAATTTATTCATTGAGTAGATAGATGGAAGGTCATTATGGACCACCAATATTTTCCAGACTTCTACTCTATATGTGTACCTGTAAGCAATTATATGTCTCATCAAAAACTTATTTATCATAAATAATAAAAAAAACGGTTAAAATTTATGGAAACGTAACACAAATACAGTCGAATCTGAAGCCTCTCCTTTACTTTTGTCAGAAGCATTGATAACAACTACGGTTCGAATAATCATATAACTAGGTTTTTAAAAATATATCAGTAATAGCATGGAGTCTGGAATGCCCGGTATATGGCAATAGGCTCACCCCCTATTACATGGAACTCATAACATAAATAGTGAAAAGAGCGTGTTATATTGTACAATGGCATTAAGTGCCGTAATGTGGACTTCTGCCTACCCCTTCGGTGATGAAAAGGCGTAATGTTATGTTATGTTAGTCTACCATCAATAACCAAATCCATAAGATATTTTTAATTAAACTAACAACTCAATTAGTGCAGCTTAGTACTCCTGACATACATATCCCTGGAGAACAGAAACGACAATATAATATGTTCCACAGTTCCATAAACTTGATTCAATTAAAACCGTGCGTGGGTACAATCGAGGCAGCCATTAGGATTACTCGTTGAGTGGAAAATACATTACCACTTCGTTTAATAGAATAAATAAACACTAAAAGGACATTCTCGCCTAATGATTAAAGGGTTTGTAGTGGTGTGTGAGTTTGGCTGAGTTTGGTGTCAACCCTGTGTCTGTTTTAGAGATTCAAAAATAAGAATGTGTATCGCGTTATGTTGAACATAGCATCAAAAAGTAGTAGTTAAAAATATCACATTTGAAAAATGTTTTGTTATGGGAATAACACTATTTTTTTTATTATTTCAAAGTGCAAAAGTGAATATAAAATCATTATTGATTAAAATAAATGTAGATAGACGTCATACTTCGGCATGAACAAGAATAAAAAAATATATTATTACCTTTTATTACAAAAAGAATCATAACATTTGTTCTAAAGTGGAACTTTAAATTTATAGACGTTCAAATTAGCATAAAACATCTAAAAAGGCTATCCACTTCGTGTCGAAATTTTTATTAATAAAAATCATAATTTTTTCATCGCGCATTCATTTAAAAAAAACGATAACATTTTTCCATTTTAAATATCCAACTACTAAATGAAAATTTTTGTTTGCCTTCAATCAAAACTTTACTTTTTAACTTTGGTATCAGCTGTTGGATCTTTCTACTGGATGCTTGTTCAAGTAAAAACTTCGTACTTAAGCGTTTATATGATACTTCAAAATTTTAATTTATGTCATTCATTAGTATTTTTAACTTGATTTAATTACGAAACACTTTATGATAATTATTTTTTTATTACACTCATTGCAGAACACTGGAAAAATGTTTAAAGCAATAACTAAAATATTTTAGCCTGTCACACTAGGAACAAAAGTAATACATCTTATACGATACTAAAAAATCCATTAACTAGGCACGAAAGACTTACAATAGACGAACCCTTGCCCAAACAATTTACGTTTCGGTGAAACAAGACAAATGAACAAACCTATCAACATGCATACAGGGCGCACTTATTTTTTTATCCCGACGAGAACACGTCACATTTTCATTAACATGCATAATGCACAACCGAAATCCATCATCCATTTTGTCCTTAACCCTGTCAGCTCGCTTTCATCGCCCAACAAGCCCAAATAGTAGTAAAAAACTAAAAACTCTCGTTGAATGACAAGTCGATAAGAAGTCGTTGCAGGCCACCAGAACAGCTCTAAGAAATGCATTAACTATTTTTAGGGTTCCTCAAATCTGTGTGCTGATCTCGGAATTTAAAAGAACTTGTTTATCAGCTGCTGTCTAATCGTAATTTTTAAAGGAAACTACCCGTTTCATGTTGACAATCTGTCAGTAAGGACCTATTGTAAATACCTTCCTATCCTACATAATAATAATATTATGTTACGTGTGCGTCAGATTATTTATTTCTGTTGCTTAAAAAGTATTTTCAGAATTTTAGTAGGCACACATTTTTTATAACTAATAGTCACTGATACAGAACCCTGATAGGTTCACTTTAATTCTTTGATCCGAACCCGTAGGCTTATCTAAAACTCCATTCTTGTAACCGCTCTACATATTTTTACGATAGAAATTATCTCAACATTCTCTTTAAAATGTAACCATTAACATGACAGACATCCATTAAAAAATGTACAGCGATTATTTTTCAATCAGATTAAAAAAGTAAGTAAGTTAATTCGAGAATGAAAAAAGAACAATATAATCGAATAAAAACAATAACAACACTCAACACCAAACAGGAAACACGAAAACGGATCGGGAGTATCGGAAACTCGAATAAACAAACTCAACTGGCCACTCAACTAACGCACAATGTTACTTAGTGCATATAAAAAATAACAACAAACGCTCACTTCGAGTGCTATTCGCGTTATTATTAGCTGCAGTGCATATAAACAAGGTTACAGCTAAACGTCGCCTCCGGCCGTATCGATGCGTCGACGGGCCCTGCTTCGCCGCTTTTAAAAAGCTAACCCGTCCCGCAAGAAAAGGACGGGTGGCTAGCACGTGGGAAGTGAATTCCGAACGCACGCACCCCCTCCCGCTCCGTCCCCCCACCCCGCGCCCTTGCTCCTTGCGCCGCGCACACCAGTCGCGCGCCGACCGCCGCATGGGCAACACGTCCTATAAACTCACCCTAGACCGAACCCGCCCCGACGTTGTGTTAACCGTAGTGGGAACGAATACGTTGTGATTTGTTTTGAGTGTGACGTCACTAGTGCAAGCTGTGAACGTAAACGCATAAAATTGGTGTTTTGAGTGCACTATGAGGTTGTTTACAACGTTATGAATGGTTTGGACCGCTGCTTCTTCGATCAACGTAAGTTTGTGTTTTGGTTATGTTTGGTTCTTGTTAATGCTGAATTGGGCGGAAATTCGTAAATTGCCTCGTTCAGGCTGCGGTTAGCGTTGGCTTTATTCGCGTGTAATGGGACGTGCGTTGCGGCATTTCAGCATTTTCAGCGGCTATGCGGTGACTTGGGTCACGTAATTATTAAAATGCCCTAAATTCATTTCGTATAAGAATCTATTTCAATTTCTCGCGTAGGTAGGGAATTAGGTTTGCATAACGTAAACATAAAATTTAAACTTTGTGATTATAATATCTGGGCTTTACACTGAGTTGTTAATTAAATTTGAGACGAGTTTCGTTCATTATTTAGTTAAATTGCAGGCTCAAAGCAGGGATAACACAAGTTTCTGATGCTTGGAAACTGATGTTAAATATTACTGAAAGCAAAGTTGTGGAACATTTCGTTATGCAAAATATAAACAAACAAATCAGTAAAGTTTGAACGATTATACACGTTACGCAAATGTTGAATAGTTGTAATTTAGGGTATTTAAAATCCAAAATCGAGTTCAAAACGTCATATGAACTGGACAATTTCCATAAAGTGCCAAAGGTGAAAAATATTATAAAATCTAAATTTTAACAGAAAACACATAAACTGCTAAAATCATATATAAGTGTCAAAAATAAATTCTATTTTTTTAAACCAAAGTCTTCACGCCTTCAAACAGTGAAAATACAGTAGCAAAACATTTTTTATCACACACAAGCTGAATGAAAGAGTAAAAATCACAATCTTCAGTGTTCCCAAACATGAAAAACGAAAAAGAAAAACTTGAAGAATATATTAAATCCAACAAGATAACTACTAACGACTGTTGAGTCAACAGCTTTATTTTGTTAAGATATGAGCACGGAGCACCAGTTAAATTGGTAATGATTTGTCCAATTAAGACGAAAGGGCAAACGATGGAACAAACAGGATAGCTTGTTGTGAAATCATTGGAAATGATTTGAGGAATGCTTGGACAGTAATTGATTTAATGAAAGAATTGCTTGATGCACGACATAATGATGTTGATTAAGACTTATGTGAAGAACATATTTTTATTAAACGCAGTCTTTTCAATGATCATTTGAACGTAATAAAATGTGGAGAAATTTTTAACGGGACTAAGATACGTTACTGTTTAAATAAACAACCTTTGATTGATGACAACAATATTAATGTGAATGACAAATTCTAAGTAGAAAAGTGAGACGTCTTCCAATTAGTTTAGTTGAGAGGGTATTTCAATAAAATCGTGAATAAACATGGCAAGAGATATTATAGACACAAAACAAAGCTTGTAAACAGTTCCGAGAAGGTAATTCATAAAAATCATTCGTCTGAAATTATTATCATATTAATTTCGTACTTAATTCGGGGATTGTAAATAATTGGTGTTCCCTAAGAGAATGCTCAGTGTTTGTTTGTTTTTGTCCTTTTTTATTTTATTCGACTAAAACTGGAATAATTCCTCATTTATCACAACGTTTACTAAATTAAAAGTAAGTACCAGTTTAGTATAGTTCCAATGAGCTATTGACGGGCGTAACTCAGCCGTAACTCCAAAAAAATGAGGCAATATTTTTCTTTTTGAACATTTGGAAATCGATAGCCAATAAAAAGCAAACAAATCACACTTATGTTACCCAAACACCTTCGTGTTAAACCAACATAAATCACCAAATAGTGCTGGCAAATAATAAAAAAGTAATATTTAAATAGTCCGACCGCAATGGACCACCCGCGCGATCCGTTCAACTTCATCCGCGGCACGAACGTCCATTATACTATCAAAAGATAGTTGGACCCGCCCGTTTGTATTCAGTTTTTACGTAATTTACATCTCGTCTATTCTTATTCTTATTTTGTTTTCGTTTTGTGATCTCCACGGGACAGGTTTTTGTTCGAATGTGTCGCGTGTAAAACTGCATCATCATCCGGCTTTTGTTGTTTTCTTTCCTGTTCTAAATGGGATGCATCTTTATCGATTACATTGTTCGCTACCGGTGATTGGTTTGTTTTTTCGTTCGTTATTTTTTTTAAGCTTCATCTTTATTAATGTGTGATTCATGACACTGTTCTGACGTAGTGTTTTTTACTACAAGTCTAATATTTGCTTTTATTAATGATAGAATATCAAGATTTTAGTTTCGCAATGTCGATCTTAATTACCTGCGCAACATCTTAAGATTTCACCACGTCTTATATGTCGTCCTCTGGTATAAATGTCATAATATTATTTTAATAGCCCCATTACATAATAGTCGTACCTTTGATCTACCTTCGTCAAATGTAAATATGTATGTGTATTAAGGGCTTAATGGCTGTATAAATAAACAAAACGACGTCGCCAAGTTTACTACTGAATACAATTTTCTCATCAGAGCAAATAATTAGAGCATTTAATATTTATTCAACAAATAAAACTTTTCACAATGTAAGTATCTAAAAGCTTAAAACTTTATAATTATTTTAAAATTTCAGTTTTTGCTTTGGGCTTTATGAAAATTTAATTAAACCCCGTTGAGATATTAAACAAAACTACGAAACAACAAGGGTTATTACAGAAAGAATTATACGAAATTTCGATACATACGCAATCCTATTCCCTTGATACGTAAAAGTTTGTTCGGCGTACCTGAGCCGAATTTCAACTATTTCCCTTAAGTTTCCGGTTAATTTAACGCGGGGTCGCTGTATGCATCCAAACGACAAGCAAGAGACAACACAGCCGGGACTCCCACGTGTGTTGTACAAACAACAAACTTCCCAGAAAACACAATGTCATCAGAAACAAAAACATTGCACCCTAATTGCCTGCTATTACCACAAAAGTTCTTCCCAATGATAATTACGGAGCTTCGTGAGGCCAATACTGTGTATTTAGTGCATAGTAATCATTGCTTTCGGTATAGCAACGTCTTATTACCGTCCCACTGTTTGGTATAGGCCCTAATTTTCTACAAAGGCACCATAGGTCTTTGATAGTTTTCTACCATATGGGCTTTATGATTATTTTTTCAACGTTTGGGGTAATACTTAAACTACCTACTGCGAATAATTTGTGTATTAGGGTTGTTAATGCCATCTCTCGCAAATTCTTGTGCATTCAATAACCTTCTGTATAAATTATTTTAAAGCTGTATCTTACTGATGCTTTCTGATAACATCAGACCAAAGTCAATAGGTATTTATTACGCCAAAGTGCTATTAAAAAGCTATTTAGGAGAACAAATGATTTTATTCGATGATAATGATATTCGAAATAAAAAGATACAGAACTTTTATGGTGCCTAATAAAAGAGTTATGTTAGTAAACGATCAAAGTTAAAATGCCATAAAAATACAATACTTTCGCTCATTGTTTGATGCTTTGCCGTGCTCGTAAATTTTAAACAAATTGGTTTTGAGGAGATCGTTTTTTGGTTGACTTCAAAGTTTTTTGTCCAGCACTATGCTTCGTTTTTCTGCTGTCGAACTTTCTACTACTTTAATACTATTGATTTCACTACTTACGGCAGCAACGATAAAAGTCAATAAACCGTTGTTTATTGATATTGCGTTTATCTTCAATTTACTCAGTTGAATTCAAATTATCTGAAATTTCATTCTTCTATGCTGATATTGTATCTGTGAATGCAACATTTATAGGTGCTCAATCATTTTTATTGAAATTAAGAACAAAGCTATTTGTTTTTCCAATTTTGTGCCTCAAGAAACTAGGAGCATTCTTTTGGTCATTTTAATCCAACTTTGAGACGTCGTATTCTTTGAAAGAGACAAAGCTGTGGTTTAATCTAATTCGCTTTTCAATTAACCTACTTGTACGAATAATTAATTATCGTTGAACATATGTTGTTCAAACTTCAGTGTACTGCTACTGCGCGAGATAATTTCCACTAGTTCGTTGAATGCCCGATCGTCCCCAGGGCTTTAATTATCACCAAGTAGGATTATCCACCATCTTGGAAATTCATTAGTATTAGGAGCTTCACAGATAAATCGCTAACTAATTAAATGCCTATTGAATACATTTGTTAACGCTAATAAACTGGCAGTACCGCAGCAAATAAAACTTGTCACTAAATCTATAAACACAAAGTAGTTTTTAGTAAAAATATTATTTAATCCATTGTCTACTAATTCTAAATTAACAACTATTTTATTTATATTTTTATTTTATTCTTTTAACCTGATATGTTTACTTGTTTAATTTAACCTATGGGATGATGATGGGCATTATATTATCATAAACACACTCAATTAATTTTAAAAAACGTAGTAATATAATATTCTTTGAAGTGTTCTAATTTAAGTACGCTAACATCTTGGACAGTGTGTCAGAACGGTGCAGTACCGATGCCAGCTGCGGAATCCCTGACCTATTTCATTTTAGATCTCATAACTAATGTAGATACTGATATTAATATGTATGATGAATTAAAGAAGGACTAGTACACTACCTAGAAAGCAGAGCAAAGCAAAAATGCTAATAACAGTTAGAAAGAAAGTGAATAAAACATAGATGTATTTTTTTCTGTTACAATTAAAAAAAATACCTTTAGATTTATTCTCCACTATTTACATAAGACCATAGGACCTTAGGTAAGTAGTTGTTACACATTCAAATCATATTCTTTGGACATGACAAATGGATGCATTTGATGAAGGTCATGATCATGATGATGAAGGGGCTGCAATATTTAATTTTATAGGCGTCACATCATTGCAACAGCCTGTCTCATAGACAGTATAAACTTGATAACAATGATTGCAGTAGGTGGTCCTAAACGATTTAGGCGTAACACTGACGACAATGTCACCTGGGTGGCTTCAAGTTCCATCACCTTAATTGTCTAATCAATAAACAAGTCTAATAGTGCCAACCTCTTTATAAAATCTATTGAATTCAAATTTGTCATCACTAGCTACATTATTCATTTCAAAGTTTGCTTCCTCTAGTTCAAATATATCATCT